TCATGATTTCGCTGCCGCGTTGAAAAAAATCATGTCGTCATCGACAAATCGTTTATTTAAATACAGAAGCAATAAGTCACATGTCATATAATCTTAATTTAAAAACTGGAGCGTCTGTTATTCTTCTATACTTACGGTCTGTGGGAGTTAATGGGACTTCTGACAGAAAAACATCTTCTTAGCTGCATCGAGTAATAATTCTTGCTTCAACTATATTGCTCAGACATTTCTTTACAACCAATCTTGCTCCATTACTAATGCTAGGTGGATCAAGCTAACGATGACCAATATGAAGCCAGGCTGTTTGAAAACTGAAAATGTTACTTTACCGAACAGAGAATAATATTAATTGCTTTTTGTACTAAATATTTCCCTGGCATTCAACGTCAGAATTTTCAGAATGAAACCTTAGTATATTGGAGTCGTCTGTCTAAACCCAAACAAAGACAGATTAGTCAGTTTAATAACTTGTTTAAATTTGTATTATGCGTACTTACTTTAACTTTTACCATTATTCCAATATAAATAGATTTATAAAATATGTACTCGTAGTTTTAATTCCTCAATTGTATTGGTTTATTCACTGGTATTTTTATAAATTTCTTTTTAACAGACTAATAAAGGTAATTATCATAAAATCATTGCAGAAAAATGCTTTTAACAAACAATTTATTATTATTTGACAACGTTTTTTAATTAACTTAACAACTAAAAATAGGTTTTTGATTGAGTGTTTGAGCGAGTTACTAGATACACCAAAAATGTTAGCGTAATATTCTACATTTTCATATGCACATACACTTGTGGCCACGCAAACCTTTTCACCGCTTTTTTTAAATTTCGTAGATTTTGTAAATTAATATATTTTTTTTCTAAATATTGGCATTTCCAACCTGGCGTTACGTGACAAAATGTAAAAAAAGAAGGTTTTCTAGATTTGCATAGCAATTAAATGGACCCTTATTCAGTAAAAAAATTACACCTGTCAGTAGTAGTGATTTAAAGATATTAGTAAACTTACGCGCCGGCGTGACGTTACAAAAACCAGAAGTGGAATTTGAATTTGATTACAAAATTGCAAAATTCAGCGAATTGGGAAAGACTATTTTTGTATAAGAGCTTTTATAGTAATATTGGAAGTGTTTAAGGTTAATTTTCTAAATTTTGAAATGTAGAAGTCTTTTCTGCCTTATGTTTAATCACCGTTACCTGGCGTTACGTTTGTAAAATTTCCATTGAAAAAGTTTTGTTAATATTGTTCTTGAAAGAATTTTGAACGGGAAGAAAACATGCATTTTATGTCGAACGTACTTTTTATTTTGATATCAGCGCCACCAGTGGTTCCATTTTTTGCAAATCTACGTCTTACTACGTTTTAACTAAATAGGCCAAATGTGAAACAAATCATAGCATATATACGGTGTTTAAAAATATCTCGACCCTGGCGCCACCTACGAGACCATTTTTTGGAAAAATGTTTCTGCTTACATAACCAGTATATATTATAAAAGGCAGCCAAATCAGCCTATATATAAGTTAGATATAGGACTTTTAATTTCTTTTACGCGGTTGACTTTTCACTGGAATCGCCCATATACATGGTACAGTAGAGGAAAAAAACTTATAATAGCAATTTTCTTCAAGTATTTCACAAAACTTTTAACACAACATTTTGTCAGTTTAAAAAAGCAAAGCAAAACTCCTTATGAATCGGAGGGTTTCACTCTTTGTTAAACGATTTCTTCTTTTGGAGTTAACAAATTTAGATTTCATTGAATATAAACGAAAATAATTAAAATAAGTACCTTTATCCCTTTTGAAATAAAGTATTTTAATTTCTCTGGCCTCCAGCATCAAAATATGAGTTTTCATAAAAAGTGGACTTAACAAATTTGTCAAAATTTTAAAATATTTATAAAATTTTCATCAAAATTTCAAACTATTTAATACGAAATACTACCTAATTTAAAAAAAGTGGTTTGGGTGGCCACAAGTGTGCATATGCATAACATGTAAATATGTATTTACATGCTATATCTATTTGTATAAAACAAAGCAAATTACAATAAACATATACAAATGTGCTTTAAAAACTAAATAGATACAAATACGTACATAGTATGTGTGTAAGTATGTATTATCGTACCCGTAAAGACCCAGCAAAAACTTTGCTTACTTTGGCTTTCTTTTTTATCGAATGAAATAGGGCAACAAGGCGGCTATTCGCTTACATGTGAGTATTTGTAAGCAATTGTATATTTATTAGATTACCTCCAACGACGTGCCCATCTTAAAATCATGTGCTCTGTAATTTAAAAGGTAAGCGGTGAATCTCGAAAAAAACATTCACCTTATAGATTACCGAACGCATGATTTTAGCATGAACCTGTCATTGGAGGTAATCTAATAAAGGTACAACTGCTTACTTATTGCTTACATGTAAACGCTAAGGTAAGCGAATGTCCTTATTGCAGTTAACTGTAATGCTTTATTTCATTTGATACAAAAGGAAGCACTTCTATCTATCTATCTATCTATCTAAGCACTTATCAAAGTAAGCAAAGTTTTTGCTGTGGAATAAATACATACATACCGTTACCTTCCCAGTTAGCCAAATGCGGAGCGCTCCGAATATGGAGTGAAAAGGGACTCCCACAGTAACACCTAGAAGCAGCGTTTTCGGAGCGCTCCAAATATGGAGTGAAAAGGGACTCCTACGGCAACACCTAGAAGGAATGCTTGCGGAGCGCTCCTAATATGGAGAGAATAGGGAGTCAAAGTGTTTTTTTTATTATCTTGTTTTTCTTTTCTTTGTATCTAGTATGTAAGATGAAAATTCAATCAGTTCAAATTCAATCAAGAAGGGGGTCACTGCATTTGGGGGTAAGCAATAACGCATAAAAATTACTTTTAGCTAACTTTAGAACTTTTCAGGTGTATTTATTGGAAAATTATCTGGTTATGGCAAAGGATTGAATACAGCGAGTGGTGGAACCAAAAACATGTTTTTTATTTATTTCATAACTTTTCCTTTTTACTGCATAATATTGTCGCTACCATGTCAAACTATCCAATGTGCCAAAACGCTTTTTCATTTACGATGCGTTTAGAATGATACGTAAGTTGGCAAATCGTCGAATTTCTAGTCTTCTTAGATACAGAGGATACTGGCTTTAACAAAGTTTCGAATCCCACACTTTCTCCTAATGACAACAACATTTCTTACAACAGTTTCTTTGCTCTTCTGAAAAGTACCGATTTTCACATTGGGCCGTATTAATAAAAATAAGCAATTGCTTTTTCTTAAAATTTCAGATCTTTCACTCAATTTATTCAAACGAAATTGAAGTAAAAGGCATGAAATTTTAAGGAAAAAGCAATTGCTTAGTTTTTATTAATACGGCCCATTCAATAGTTTGACATGGTAGCGACGGTATGTTAAATAATTTTCTTTAATTTAAAGTTTTTTCAACAAAAAGAAATGATTACAAATTTTTAATTATACATATGTATATATTAGGAGCATTTTGAAAAACCGTGAATCCTTTTCGGTCTATTATCGGAGCACTCTCAAAACACTCCGTCTAAGTTATCTTTGGATGATTTAATGAGTCGCTTTTCACAAAATCATAGTCGAGTCTTTGCAGATTATCTGAGGGAGTTTTCTGGGACTCCAAAATCACTCATTTAAGGAGTCCTAAAGGCACAATTTTTTTATATAGAGAAAGCACTTTTCTGCAGCCGATATGCTCCTTTGGGACTCTTTTCGGAACCTCCCTGGGAGCATTAGCGCACCGCACAGGGAGTTCTAATTGTGCACCCTGCGAACTCTGCTGGTACACCGGGATATTTTGAGAAAGCACTTTTCTCCAGCGGATATGCTCCTTTGGGACTCTATTCGTAGCCTCCCTAGGAGCATTAGCGCCCCGCACAGGGAGTTCTAATTGTGCACCCTGAGGACTCCGTTGTACGCTGGGTTAATTCACAAAAGCCCTAACCAACACTATTTTCGAAACTGCGTTTTTCACAGATTTCGGTTGCAAGTATTAAAATACACCTTCACTTAAAATCTTGAAGTGTTAGTACCAAAAACAACGGAGTTAAATGTCACTTTTTAAAAAGTCCTACCTGTTTCTGTTACTCATTTTATAATGTTTTTTGCTTCTCCTGTAAAATAAAAAATTTGTTGTTTAGGGCCTTTGAGAATTAAGGTGACGATATGCAGTTAGGTAGTAATGAACAGTTACATAGGTTTGAGTAGTTCTAAAAAAAAACAAAGTTCCATAAATACAGTGTGGGACCTTCATATAAGAAAGCATATTAGGCACCAAGGTTTTCACTGAGCGAATTATTATGAAAATTGGATCTAATCATTTAACTCGTGTCGATCGGAAATCATGAAATTTTCCTATTATTTTCTATACAAAAATTTCAAATTTTTCGATCGACACGAGTTCAATGATTAGACCATTATTTATTTGAAAGTCTTGAGTCTTGTATGTATGTACATGTAAGCTCTACATATAAAGCAGGGGTCACATGATTTGTACATTTGTACGGATTTGTACACTTTGGCAGTCACAGAGTGGTGTTGTCTAGAAATTTGTATCGATAATGAGTTCAGCTGAATAAAAAAATCCCACACTCTGTCAAAATGTACAAATCTATACAATTGTACAAATTGTGTGATCCCTGCTTAATGTAAGAAACCCTAAATGTTAATTTCTAATAAAAAAACTGTACATTGAAGTGAGCGAGCATTATTTTTATAAGAAATCTGTAGCCCCTTTCTTTAACTTTTCTCTACCAATTTTTTCTCTACTGGTAGAGAATATACGTCACTCTCTACTACTCATTAGCAGTAGAGAACAGGGCGGCGAATTCATATCTCAATTCGCCTTGGTAGAGAATTGTTATAGAAACGAGCTACTGTTTTTACAATAAAAATTCACTACAAAATATCTGTCCAGGTATTGTGTTCGATCCGCCTGCCAACCAGGTCAAGTAGCGCACAGTGGGCTGCCGCTGCTGCTACTGCTTTCACGCTTAATGCACAACTCCTGCTGCGAAAAATATGTACTATTTTCGCTTGACTGCCTAGTGCTCTGATAAATGCTTTTTTTTGTAGATTTTGTTGTGATTGTTGTAACTGACTCAGTGGCTGCCATCTCAACGTCCAGACACTTTGTTTTGAGTATTGCATCTACATCCGCATCAGCGTTAACTTCTCTGCTTATCTCAGCTTCTTCGGCATCCCTTACAAGTGCCATCTCGGTATTGGTGTCAACTTCCGTTTTCACCTCCGCATCTCCATCCTGATCTAAACTTAATTCGTTTTGCACAATTTGCAAACCTCCACTGGTTGAGGACTCGCGATCTGAAATGCTCGACGTAGAGCTGCGTGTAGATGGCGACTTCGATGCGGCTTTATGACTGCCAGACGCTGTGGCTTGAGACGATGTGAGCCCGACAGTTTCAGCTGCACCGCCAAGTGGCAGTTGTGTCACTTTACCCATAAAGGAACGTATCTCTTCAAAGTAGGACTCTTCTGTAGGATTATCGCAGTAGCCACCACGCCGTAGACCGCGTATGCGCTCGTTCATGCCCAAACCAAGCGACACAGCGTCACTTTCATGTTTCTTCAGATGACGATCCAGGTTCGTCTGCTGACCAAAGCAACGCTCGCAAATCTCACACTTGAAAGGCCGCTCTTTGTTGTGTATGTTGCGTACGTGACGCTGCAGGTTCGAGGATATGCTGAAGGAACGTTCACAGTATTTGCACTTGTACGGCTGCTCGCCGGTGTGCGTTCGTAGGTGGCGAGTTAGATTGGCGGATCGCGGAAAAACCTTGCCGCAGAACTTGCAAGTGTAGCGATCTTTGCTTTTGTACTGCGCCGCTGTGGCATTATTCATTGTGTTTGCCGTCAAACCGGCTCGTGACGTAGACGACGATTTCTTAGGGTTATGATGAACACCATCCGAAACAAGCGCTGTACGACTTCCTATACCTCCAGCAGTAAGTTGCTGCTGACGCGCATGACGATTTAACTGCTGCTGGTTGGCGTGTTGTTGCAAGTGTTTTGGTGTACCTTCTCCCCCACCACTGCTGCCACCGCCGGAATTCAGCGCCACTTTGCTAACGTTGGCGCCCATTAGCGGGTGAGTTAACGCATCAGCTAAACTGCTACGACCGCCTCCGCCGTCATAGTGGAATTCGAGTTGCGCATCGTTGGACGCGGATTGTTGTAGCTGTAACGAATTGGGCAGCATATCCTTTTGCAACGACGGCTGCAGAAAGGGGAAGGAACTCGCTGTTGGAGGACGAGGCAGCACGAACGGGTTACGGTAAGGCATTGGAATGGCCTTCGCCATCGCTTCCAGCAATGTTGGATGTAAGGCGGATGAGACAAATGGCAGTCGATCTGCTGATACTGCTGCGGCGGCGGCATTCAAGTGCAATGATTCAGTGAGGCGCAAGCAGGCCACGCCCAAATCCGACTTTTGTGTGCGCAAGCGTTGCTTTTGTTTGCTGCTTAGGCTTTCTAGATTAGCAGCTATCGTATTGTGACACAAAGATGGCAGATTGTTGTTATTAAGCTCCTTTTCGCAGTTGATATCCGCCGGCGACGAATCGCGTTGTACGCGGAAATTGAATGTGCGTGCGTTTTGGGACGGCGTGTGCCCACTAGGGCTATTATGACTACTAGGGGACGCATCGCTTTTGGGTGTGCTGTGGTAATTGGAACGACTGTTGTAGTTTGTGCCACTATATATCAGATTGCTATTCTCATCTTCTAGTGGAGAGGAGGCACCGCTTGCGCTGCAGCCGTCGTGCTTTTTGTGTGCTAGCCGTAAGTCGAGCGGTTGGTCGTAACTGCTGCAGCGTTTCCGAGTTTTTGCTTCTTTGTGGCTTTGACTTAAGGCGGATATTGTGAGTGATAGTGGTGACGTGCACGCTGCTGCAGATGAGGTCCGCGCCGCCGTCACCGACAGGTCATAAGGTACTTGTGATGCATAGGTAGTGGTGGGCACTAGGCCTAATAATGGATAGACGCACCCTTGCTTAGGGCTGGGCAGCATTTTTCTTGGTGAGTGATCCTTCTCTCTCATCACTAGCGTATTTCGTTTTGTAGCGAATTTGTTGCCAGCTTACAGGCAAAACGTATACATACCTTTGTAGGAATTACTCCAACTCATTACACTAATTGTTGGGCGTTAGGATGTGAAGCGCATGGATATTGTTGGAGTATCTCGAATATCAGAGTTGCTGAAATAAAATAAAGTGAGAAAAGAAAATATTTTTAGAATAATTTTTGGAAAAATGGCACTTTTTTCAGCTAATTTCAATAAACTGTAAATTAATTTGGCATGAAACAAAATACAGAGAAAAACACTTTGACTTTTCTCCTTCTGTAAACAAAATACATAATTAGAAATTGGAATGGAAAAACACCAGTTTACTTTTCGAACACATCCGGCCACTTCTATACACACAGGTCGGGTGTCAAAGAATATGCAAATAAAAAAGTAGTGAGCTATTTATTTACTTACACTTAACTGTATGAATAGGTGTGCAAATATTTAATTAGTCGAGGCTTCTAACATATCTACTGTGGGTCTGCGTAAATATAGAGACGAATTTAGTGGAATTAAAAACACTTTTATTAGATCTTCACATGTTAGCTATCGAAAAGTTTTGAGCTTTTCTTAGAAAACCTTTCGTTGAAAATGATAACTCGGCTAAACATCTGTTTCTTCTTATTATGGCAAACTATAACTCTGATATGTTAGAAAATTTAACAGGTGAAGTAATTAGCTTAATAATTAATTGGCTTTAAAATTTGACTATAAGGCATTCTAATGTCAGAAAATAAAGCGTGAAAGCTGTTTTATTACTTCACCTGTTTAGTGCGCCATGATATTAAGTATATATGTAATACTCCTATATTGACAATAACAACTAGTACAGTCCGAAAACGTTACAGTACAAATATATAAATAAACACGTACACATACGTTTATAAATACCATGCAAACCATTTTTACATAGTATGTATTCTAAATTGTAGAGAAAAGTTCCCGAAATCTTAACGAAATCTTTGGGAGTATCTCATTTCTGTAACGATTTTTTTACGAATCTTCAAAGAAAATTGTATGAAGTGGTTGACACGAACTCGTAAAAAAATTGCTGTAGGAAAAAAAAGAAAATTCTGAAAAAATCTGCTAGAAATTTTTCACATTGCAGCATTATTTTCATTCAGACTTTTAGGAATTCTTTAAAATTTCTCTACAATTAAGAATACGCTGAAAAAATGGTTTGCAGGGTCGTTTTGATTTCGGAATGCTTACACATTGAGAAGCAGGGATGCCTATTAAGGCTGAAAAAATTCCCCTATTTTCAATGGTATTCCCCCAAATTAACATTTAAATTTAAGGCACTTCACTCTCATTTCTGAGTATATTTCGTAAAGCATATCTATCATACATGTACATATATCGGGCATTCCTTGAATCATATAAACTTAGGTCTCTTTTTATGCGGATTTGAATTTATTTATATATTTTTTCGCTGTAGCTGTTTTGCTTTTTTGAGTGTTTTTATTACTATCTTTCGGTGTGTATGAGACAATGCTTCTGATAAAAAATTTGTCTTTGTATTCCTACATAATTCATGTATGTATTTATTTTGGTATTTTTTTTTTTTTTTGGTCAAAATACAGTAAAAATTTTTATTTAATGTTCAGTTTTACATGGAATAATAAGTGTTGAAGTGAAGAAATAAATTGTTTTTTTTTCTTAATATTGCCTCATTGAATTTTTTTATGCTGTTTTTTAGAATTTTTTACATGGAGTATCTGAATTTATGCAGTTTTTGAAATGGGGATGCGAACGGTAACGTGGCCCACTTCGCATATAACGGTATTTTCTAAAAATGCAAAAACTAAGATATTTCAGTAAATATTAGATGCAAATTGTTGAAGATGAGTGAAGTAGAATTGTGGTAAAAAATAATATTATTATGAAATTTTTGGAAATTGAGCGTGACCCCGCCCACTTATGATGAAATGCTGTATCTCGGTAGCGGCTTCACCAATCCTTATCAAACTCGGCACGAGCCTTCGGTAGGGTATAACTAAGAAATATGTAGAAAATCTTTGAAGTCTGGAAATAACCACGCCCACCTGTCATATAACAGTAATTTACAGAAACTGCGATAAATCGGTAACAACTGGAACTAATTCACTTAAAATCGATGATTGCAATAACTACTTAGCAGAAAATTAGAATATTATAAATTTTCTGATTATGGGCATGGCCCCGCCCACTTATGACCACAAATGTGTATCTTGGTAACCGATTTATCAATTTCTACCAAACTCGGTGCACTTAATAACCTTGATACGAAAAAGCAATTTGTGGAAAATTATTCAAATCGGACTAAAATTACATCCGCTTTCCGAATAACGGTAAATTTCCGAATACTCCGATATTTCAATAACTGAGGACGCTAATTTTACAGAAATCCCCTAACAATAAATAAGACTGCTATAGACTTTGAGGAACTTTGAGGGACTGCGTGGCACCGCCCACTTTATGACTACGAAGGTGTATTTCAGTAACCACTTTATTGATTTGTACCTAACTTGGTTCAATTATATCATTAAATCTAACTCTGCATATTAACGAAAACGTTTGAAATCGAGTAAACACCCCTACTTAAGATGCAAAGGTAGTTCAGAGAAAGTTGAAACGACGATATTTGATACGTGCACCGGGTAATTCACTTAAAATCGATGATTGCAATAACTACTTAGCAGAAAATTAGAATATTATAAATTTTCTGATTATGGGCATGGCGCCGCCCACTTATGACCACAAATGTGTATCTTGGTAACCGATTTATCAATTTCTACCAAACTCGGTGCACTTGATAACCTTGATACGAAAAAGCAATTTTTGGAAAATTATTAAAATCGGACTAAAATTACATCCGCTTTCCGAATAACGGTAAATTTACGAATACTCCGATTTTTCAATAACTGAGGACGCTAATTTACTCCAAGTTAATAGTTACAGTAATCCCCTAACAATAAATAAGACTGCTATAGACTTTGAGGAACTTTGAGGGACTGCGTTGCACCGCCCACTTTATGACTACTAAACTGTATTTCGGTAACCACTTTATTGATTTGTACCTAACTTGGTTTAATTATATCATTAAATCTAACTCTGCATATTAACGAAAACGTTTGAAATCGAGTAAACACCCCTACTTAAGATGCAAAGGTAGTTCAGAGAAAGTTGAAACGACAATATTTGATACGTGCACCGGGTATATGAAGTTATACTTCTTTACTTTTTGAATATGAAGATGAATACCAAGACGAACTCGTTTACATGACAGTCGGGTCTACGTAACTGGTCCAACCCATTCTGGGCCAAGGTCTGTTACTCAAACACATTCCCTGAAAGCTCTTTAGGAAACTTTTATTCTGTCACTACCGCAATTATGAAGACGAATACGAGCACGATTAAGTAAGATTAAGAAAACGAATGCGAAGACACAAATATGAGACGAATGCGAAGACTTGAGAGAATACGTAAACAGTGAGTAAAACGAATTCGAAGCAGCCCTGCCAGATGTATAGATACGATGACTTCACCCAATGAATAGTTAAGACCGCGCGTTTACTAACACTTATATATTTATTCAATTACTTCTGTGACTCTGAACAATAAAGAAAACTTAGAAAATAATATCGTTGTCTGCTACACGTGTGGCGTCAGTAAAAAGGCTTCGGTAAAAGTATTTGCTTTCGTGGCCGGCGTTGGTTTACCGAAGTGTTAGACGATTGCTCGTCGCGCCGCTGTCCGGATGGATCATGCAACATTTGAGGCGGGGTTACCACATCCACTCTCCCTCCGATGACCTTCGAATAGTTCGAAGGGAAGGAAAATGTCTTTTGCTTGCTGGAATCTGTACAAGTTGGCTGGTCTATGACTGAATCTGACGACTGAGGCTGATGGAACTCAGGATCCTCATACTGCTGTGGCTGCTGCTGGTTTTCAGAGCTCTTGAGCGGCTGAGACCGCTGTTGACTACCAGAATCCTCTCTAGCAATGTATGCCGGTTTTAACCTATCCACGGATACAACTTTCTCGATGCCGTCCACCCGGATCTTGAAAACGTTGTCATTTAGGCGCTCTAGGACTTCATGTGGTCCAGAGTATGGCGGTTCAAGAGGGCGTTTGACTGCATCTATGCGAAGAAAAACATGCGAGCATGAATACAAGTTTTTTAGGATGAACATTCGTGGTTTTGTGTGATGCGCAGTTGGAGTTGGCCTCAATGTTCTGATATGCTCTCGAAATTTTTCCAAAAATTTTTTTGGGTCAGCTGGCAAATCCTCTGATACGAAAAACTTTCCTGGGACGCGTAAACCTGTGCCAAAAACTAGATCAGCGGGTGAGGCGTTCAAGTCCTCCTTGTAGCAAGTGCGGAGGCCAAGGAGCACCGTGGGTAGGGCTTCTGGCCAGGAAACCTTACTCTTGCACATCAGAGCCGATTTCAGGGTCCTGTGCCACCTCTCAACCAGTCCATTGGATTGCGGATGGTAGGGAGTCGTCCTAATGCGATTTGCTCCAATCAACCGTGTCAAGGCGGTGAAGAGGGCTGACTCGAACTGAGCGCCTTGGTCAGTGGTGATGGTGAGTGGTGTACCAAACTGAGCAATCCAGTTTGAGTAAAACGCGTTGCAAACAGAGTCGGCTGTCATGTTTTCCAGGGGAACAGCCACGGGCCACCTGGAAAACCGGTCAATAATTGTAAGGCAGTACCTAAGCTTGTTTACCACTGGAAGTTCGATGAGATCCAGATGTACATGGTTGAACCTGGTATCTGGGTATGTCAATGTGTTTGGGAATGAGGCGGTTGTGCCGTTGGATTTTGGACCGTTGACATGCGATGCAATTTCGAGTCCATTCCAGTGCATCCTTCTTGATGCCAGGCCAAATGTATTTTTGCTTAAGCATTCGGGCTGTGGTTCGCCCACTGGGATGAGACAGCCCATGTACCGAGTCGAACGCTGCTCGCCTGATGCTATTGGGAA